TTGTCTACTACGCTTTTTGTCAGCACTAATATCTTATTTAGTAAAGCTCAAGGTTGACATTTTGAGGAAAAGAACCAGGAAACAGAACCACCAATAGCAAACTCTTTTCTTATGGCATGTTGCCCCTAGGGAAACGGCTTGTGCAGCATGTGAGCTACAACTAAAACAGGGTGAAAAGATGATGATTATCATTTTTATACAGTAAATTATTTAGAAAGTAATTACCTTGCCGCAGTACAGATTCCATACACAGAACAACAGCTTTCCAAAAACTCCAAATAGAGACGCTGAATAGACATAGCACGCAAAATGCGATCAACTCGCGCCATCTAGTGGAGGCGAGCATTATTGACTGAACGAAGCCCCTCGATAATAGACGGTGGGCCAGTTTCCAAGACATAGATTAAGCCTAAGCCTTGATTTAAAACAATTTCCAGTAGTGATTCACCACTGGCACTGTAACTTATTCCAAGACTGCTTAATCCATGTCCAAGGAACATGCCCATTATAATACCCATCCTATTATAAAGGCTAGATGTACAGGCTGAGGTAGTCAGGGCCGGCTCTTAGAGCTGGGCGATATGGCCAAAAACGTTATCACGATAAACAAAACTCATATCGTTCGATATCGATACATATCGCGATAAATGTCAAATCATGATTTCTTTCCCGTTTGAAGGCTGATTTTGCTCCTGGGTGGTTAATTGTGGTTTTAAACTATCACTTATGGTCCGATCATGACAAACACTCGGCAAACAGTGGAACATTTCACAAATCTGTCATGGAAGAGTGGGAGAGAGTTTCTGAGCTGTTTTTATCAGCTGGAAAAGCACAACTGCAATTTTTGTAATAGTCATGATTTAAGAAAGAAAACAGATTATTTTTAGCGGTCTGGTGACGAGCGCTCGGCTACCCCGTTACAAATGCTAAACAAGTGGCCAACAACAGAGCTAAACTCTTTAGTTTCTCAGCAACGTCAACTCGGTTCGGGAGGTCACTGCTGTCACTCCTACCACATCCATGTCAGAGCAGATCACAGTATTCAGACACCAGCTAGCGACGACTGGGTTTCTCTATGCTACCGTAGTAGTTTAAGGGGTGAACCGCAGTATATCTGACGCTCGCTGTGTAAAAGCATTATCTGCAGTGTGAATCTCTCACACCAGTCACAGAGTCCTCCTTTTAGGCATGTTTAAACTGAAAGCGGTGATTTTGTGTCTTCTTTCGAACATGAACCCACTTCTTTCTTTCACTTTCGTTGCTCGAGAATGCACTAATACTAAAATATGACGGTTTGGCGCTGTAACACGGAGCTGCAGACGTGATTTAACACCGCTAAAGCTGTTAGCATGCATGGAAAGAGGTGAGTTCACCGTAGGACAGTACAGTTACACCACTGACCTCGTCACTCACACTCGGTCACAGGAGAACAGGTCGCCGATAACATCCACTCAGACAGGGACTGTATAACTCCGCGTTTCAGCCGTTGCTAAAGTATATTTGGCGACCCTTTTTTTACTCGTGGCCCCCTCCCTCTTTAATCAAGTCGAAAAAGTCGGAAGTGCGCCCTCTCCTGGCGACAGCATAGTAGTGTCGCTTTCCTTGCAGTAGAAAGCGCCACCAGGGCTTTCGCTAAAACGTGTAAGTGTGAGAATGGTGTATTATATCGAACATTTATCGAACCTGTCTTATCGCTCTATCGAGGAAAAGTTATATCGCGATACTTATCGTTATCGTTTTATCGCCCAGCCCTACCGGCTCTAACATTTTAGGGGCCCTAAGCAGGTTTTTTGGGGGGGCCTCCATCTTGCTAGCTTCATGACTAAATTCTCTTTGGGGTTCTATTAAGTCACAGTTTAATTTACAGATAACCTTCTCAGCATTCATGATCCAGGGGTCTGTCTCACCATGCAGTCAGCCTATTTCTTGCTTATTCAGCTACTAAGCTTAGTTGGATCTAACTCTGGTGGCAGGGGTGACAGCATTGCTTTTTTTACAGTTATAAATGTCTTACTCACTATATATTTAGGTAATATAATTTCTTTTTATTTCACTGGTGACTCCTCATGTTTAAAGTAAATGGCTGTTCATTATAAACATCATGCTTTCATGCAAGGCCATGCAGAGAGCCTTAGAGTGGCAGATGCTCAAAGTTAGAATGGGACACATGAACTAAAATGATAAAATACCAACTACAGCATATCTCTTTAACTACAGCAACAACCAGTATTCAAAAAGAACATCACAAGGAATCTCACATTACACCATAGCACACCATTAGATTGGCTTTTATCAAAATAGTGTTATTATAATTATTTTAAGATACCATCAGTCAATTTGTAGTAATTGTGAATAACACTCCTGTCAAATACAAATATGACAATATTTTGATAGATTAGATTTCACGTCACTAAGCTACACAAAAGCAGGCTTGTTGAAATTTTCTACCTTAGAGCATATTTATATGCATCTCCTGAGAACTTGTAGAGAGATGAATTGCCTCTCTGTAATGTCTTCCAGGTTTTCAGATGCTAGCGGGCGCTCCTGAGCGAGTCCAAAACGAATGGGTTAAGATGTAGCATTTGAACAAAATCATAGTTTATAAATGTTTAAATATTAATACTTTTAATTCCATAGATAACATTCATTTCCTGAACACAGAACAGCATAAAAGCGGCACCTTTTGTACGTTCATGATGTCAGTGAGTGCGAATATCCAATGAGCTGCTTTGCTCGCCAACCAATTAGCACTCAGTAGCAGCAATGTTAGTGTCCTACTGCCCAAAACCCGTTTGCTGTAGAAAAAAGGAAACACACAAGTAAGTTTTCTTTGCTTTTTCAGTAAAATACATCCTTCTACTTTTTAAGAAAATTCTGGCTGAGTGATTAGAAGCTATTTAACTTTTCATTTTTACATGTTTAACTCCAGTCACCCCCATTCATTGCGCCCTCTGACATTTTGCAGTCATGTTTTTGATATAACAGGGGAAATGCGAAGACCCCAGGCTCCTCATGGTAGCTCTGTACATAAAACCTCTAGGTAGGATATGGTAATAGCTAAAATGAACTTATCATAAATACTACCAGCATTAAAACTACAAAGCTGAAATCAGCTTCTTATTCGCTAGCTTCTTGTTCAAATTTTCCTGTTCTACCTTAAATGGTGTAGCAGTTACTATAATGCCTTAGGCACCAGAATGTAACTGCTGCACCATTTAAGGTGGAACGGGAAAATTCGAACAAGAAGCTGGCGAATGTCCTCATCAGAAAATTTTACCAGCATTAAAAGAATAAATAGGACATGTTGATAGCCTAAATCAGTCTATCAGGGTCTAAGTAGTGATATTAAGCTGAGTATTAATTTAAAAACAAACTAAAATGTTCAAAACACTGAGGTACTTTGTTGTACTGATGATACCCGCACGTTCGCTAGCACCGTTCAGCAGTGGTCACATCTCATTGTGGTTTGTCAGTCTACTTCAAGGAAGACCAGAAGAGTATTAAAATAGGTGAAAACCAATTTCAGTCTGGCCATATTGAGCAGTGGCCTCAATGCAGGTCAGCTTGTAGAGCTACCACATGGCAAAGGGTGCTGGTTCATGCATTTTTTTAAGGAGGCTGCCAGACTAATGACGTCAGTTCAGTGCACAGCAGCATTAGCCTACATCTAGTAATATTCACATTTTGACTCTTTAACAACTTCATAATTCAGAGTATCCAGTGATATTTGAGAGAAAGATGCTCACAGGACAAAAGCTTTTCAGGACAAAAGTATCAGCTTTGGAACAACTCTATATATTTCTTCATAGAGAAATTTTGAAATTCCTTTTAGACCCATAGCTCTTTATATAGGCATAAGAGCATGGCACTGACCACAGAATGACGACACGACTTCAGTGGTTTGGGGCAGTTAAACATGCAGGAATCATGAATGATGCTAAAATGTGTTTAAATTAGATCCATATCATTTTACCGTCGTTCTTGTGTTAAATTATTAGTCGTTAAAAGGCAAAGGGACACATGCTCCACCCCCAAGACAGCATAATAGTACAGTAATAATTCAGAAGTTGTTAAGGGGCCCCAACTGGACCCTAACCACTGGACCCTAACCAGCCACTCATGTGGCTTCATAGGTAGAGCCGGCACCGGAGGTCATTGCTGTACTGAATCTGCCAAATGATTTACGATCATTAAACCATAAATGTCCAGTAATAAAACCTTCGGATGAATGCCATCGAACTTCTGGTTCTGGTTGGTCTAAAATGATAAAATGAGCAGTTATACCTTCTATGAACATGTAGCAAAACATATACTCTTTTTATGTGTTTATTCAGAATCAAAATTGAATTTTCTATTGTCTATTGTTTCTATTTTGTTAATATTTGTAGCAAACGTAATCTGACACAAGAATTGCTATAAACTCACTTCTTAGCTATATCGTTTAATTATTTCATTTTTTTCATATTTGAACTCAGTCAAGTTTACAGAGAATATGAACCAAAACAAATTAAAATAATAATAAAATTAAAATCAGATATGTATATAAGTAGATTAAATCAACATAAAAGCATTGTTTTGTCATCGTTTTCTCGCTGATGTCTAAGAAAAGAAAAGGACTTTTCTTCTCTTTTTTTACGAAAAGGAGATCTCTGAACGAGCACTATGTACTGTTGTTTGATTTGCATATATGGGCGGGGCATGGACGGCAGTTTGCTTTTCATTGGTCAAACTGCATTTCACTCATCCTTCAGCAAAGCCACCTGTCATAATAAGAGTTCAACACCGTCAAACACAGTCAGGATAATTAATGACATTAAATCTCGAAAAATAAGTCTGTAGTCTCCAAAAAGGTTGATACGATTATAACAAATACTATAATCATATTATTAGGATAGATTAGGTTATTATTATTAAATCCAGCAGAAACAAGTCACCTTATAAGATCTACACGTACCGCGAAGCCTTTTGAATTTGAAAACGCCGTAGTTCAAAGGTTATAGAAAAGAAATATGGCCGCGTCCAGGGGACCCGTGGTGTTAAAGGCGGTCAAGAAAATAGTTGTACAGTTTTGCCCCTTTGAGTCCAACGTCCGCGCCACACGGTAAGAATATAAAGCTGTTACAGGAGGCTGAATTACGAAATTTGGGCTTAATGCGTTGTGAAATGAAAGAATAATAAAGCTGACTCGTTGGGTTCGCGTCTCTCCCTGAGCCACGAAGCTGGAGTAGCTGCAGTCAGTTTATTCACCAGCTTCTTCATCGAATTTTCCCGTTCCACCTTAAACGGTGCAGCAGTCACAGCAGTGAAAGCCTGAAGCGCCAGAATGTAACTACTGCACTATTTAAGGTGGAAGGAAAAATTCGAACAAGAATCAGGCGGATAAGCCGAGTACAGCCTCATCCCTGATCCTGAAACTCTGTTAGCTGGGCGTGTTTAATGCGCTGCTGCAGCTACATTTGCTCATATTTGCAGAGTCGAATATAGTGACGTATAGCATCATGTTGTAGACTCTCTCTGTTTCTGTGTGGTGTAGCTGCTCCTGGCTGTGCTGGGTGACTAGTGTAACTACTGTTTGGGTTTGTGGCAGACAGTCTGTAATATCAGACACTGTGTCTAAACAGTCTAATCAGACAGTTTTACTGTCTTAGAGTAAAAACGACTTGAGACAGTGGTAGTTAACTTTGGCTTATGGGTTCGCGTGATGTAGTCGTAGTAGTGGTAATAAAAAAAATACATTTTATTTATATAACGCCTTTTTTAAAGTTCACAAGTTGTTTTACGTGGAGATTAAAACAAAACAATAAAACACAGTAAAAATTTAGCTGAAAACAAAGTAGAGGGGTGAAATGCAAAATACAGTTTTAGAGAAGTAACAGATAAATTATAGTACTTTAGAAGGAAAAAAGTCTCCCATAACTCATAGATGTTTAACATTAATGTTTACCTTACACTTTGAAACAGAATCACTCAACTCAAGAATAGGTTCATACTACAACATAGTGTTACAAGAATGACAAAAATCATGAAGTCTGTAGTTCCTTCCTTGAGGAAATCACTGCTTATGATCATGGTGTTTGAAGATTCCATTAAGTATTGGAGGTCTTGAGTAGTATTTGTTCTGCTGCTTATGCTGACAGGTGTCATGAGGAAGGTGTGCTCAAGCATGAAATAAAGCACTAGAACCTTTACCAGCATCATCACTACCACTTCTTCTTCTTGACTGGTATCAGCCATGGGTTGGTACAAATGAAGGTCTCAACTGTGTTCTTGACTAATCAGTGATTTGGATCATGTGTTTTGCATGCAGAAGAAATTTCTTAAGCTTTCAAGGCAAAGAAAGCTAGTGACTAACAGGAAAGTAAAGCAACTGTCAAGTGTCTAGAAGACCTGAATCATCTTCCCAGAACTTTTGTGATAGTATTGAGACAGTATAGTGGTCAGTAATGAGGAACCCCAGTAGGTGTTTGATAGTCAGTTACACTGTGATCTCTGCTAGAATTAAAGTTGGAAATTAAAACTTAAATTCTTGGCTTATGTCTTTAGTTATTCATTCCAAAATCTATATAAAATAATATATGCCATCTTTTTTTTTAATGAGAATGAGGAATTCAAGTATGAGCCCACATACACATATAGGTTTTAAGGGTTTTAAAAACTGCTGCCACACAGAGTTCAGGTTTATGCTCACCATTGAGCTGCCTATTTGTAATGGAATTTAACATACTGTGGTTTGGAAAGTTTCATTCACACAGTTATCTTAACTGTATGCCAATAAGTTAACTGAAAAAATATACTGGTAAAATCTGCTGTTCTTGTAGAAATATGGCAATTAAATGCATACAGCATTTAATACAGCTTTTGATATGTTGATCACATACTAATGCTAATTTTCTGTTCCACAGAGACTTTCTTGTTTTGGTGGGATCTGAAAAGGCGAGGGCGACTAATATGAACTGTGAAGTCATAACAGAAGTGAAACATGACCAGTCAGATCCTGTGATTGACGTCACATTCAGTGAGTGAACTCAAGTTGTAAATATCCGTTATGTGCACTCCGACACAGACTGATTTCTCTTTAAGTAATAATGGTCTTGTAGCAGTCTTTGGCCTGGTAACTTGTGACCTAATAGCTTATGGACATGTGGAGGTGTGCGAGTTTCCTTCCTGTGGCTTCCTTTTTTTAATGCTTTTTTTTCCCACAGTGGATGGAGAAAGGTTAGTGATGAAAGGATCCAGACTGACAAGCCAAGAGATGCTTTCTGCCCTACAGACATGCTGCATGGCTAAAGATCCCCAGGCCAAAACAGGAGGGAAGAAATAGCTGTACTTTTTGTGTGTCTCTTATGTTGTGTAGCCCTATTTATGTTCTTTTTTCATTAAATAAACCTACTGTCTCAAATCAAATGCCTTTCAGTTGTTATTGTTTAGATTTATAAGAATGAGTGATGATTTAGTGAACTTCACAGTTGGTTTGTGTGTATCTCTTTATGTATGAGAAAGAAAGGGACATGCAGATGAACAGGCATACAGATAAACAGAAATCTTAGTGGAATTGTTATTTTGTAGTGTAAAATCTACATTATATGTCCAGAATTTTACAGACACAGCTTTTGGTTTAGTTAAGTCAGCTACTTTAAGCCATTCAGTTGCGCAGTGCTTGTATAGACTCCATAGAAAAGCATTACCAGTAGTGGAGCTGTGTTCTCTGGAGTGATGGAGCTCCATTCAGTACCTTTGGGATGAGTTGGAATGGAGTTTGTTTCTAAAAACTCATCATCCAACATCAGTACCTGACCAGGTAAATCCTCACAGCAATGTTCCAGCATCTAGGGTAAAGTCTTCCCTGAAGAGTAGAGGCCGTTGTTTCAGCAAAGGGGGGCAAACTTCCTATTAATATCCTTGATTTTGGAAGAAATTGTAGTTAAAACTATAGTGAACATTCATGTGTCGATAAAGGTCTTTATGCATCCAGGTCATTAGAGTCGAAGTAAGTCAGGCAGCTGCGCTCTGTGTTTAGGGGGCTGTTCTGTGGTCTAAACTCACTCAGGGAACCTTTTCCCTCATTCTGCATCGCCCTGTGCGTCAGCGAACGTGGGCCGCCACGTCAGTGACGTTTAACACGCTGATTGGTTGGTGCGATCGCGCACGTGCTGTAGAAACACCATAAAACGGCGGCGGCGCGGCGCAGAAGCGCAGTGTGTGTTGTGTTGGTCTCTGAGTGACTCTTTGTGGCTATAGCAACCGCAACATCAGCTGCGAAGATGGTTGATAAATTTGTGGGAACGTGGAAGATGGTCAACAGCGAGAACTTCGACGAGTACATGAAGGCTCTGGGTAATGACCACTTTGTTCTTCTCACTTGACAGACTAAAGTTAAACTGAAGTAACTGCTCAAATAATTGTGGACGAGTTGAGGTGATTGATGAGTTCCGTTTCTGCTCATTAGTTTTCGTCTTTGAATGCAAATCTGTTGTAACTGTTGGCTGTTGCAGAGCAGTGAATGACCGCTGTGCACTGTTATTACTGAGCTCTGACTCTACTGAACGCGTTTAACGTTTTTCAGGTGTGGGTTTCGCCACCCGTCAGGTAGGAAACAGGACCAAGCCCAACCTTGTAGTGACTATGGACGACCAAGGGCTCGTATGCATGAAGTCCCAGAGCACCTTTAAGACCACCGAGATTAAATTCAAACTGAACGAGTCCTTTGAGGAGACCACGGCTGACGACAGAAAGACGACGGTCAGTCAGTGCTAAACTGGGAAGTGTTGTTGTTGTTGCTGTTGTTGTTTTCCCCCGAGAAAGCTAGTTTACGCTAACCGCCCTGTTTGTGGGGGCTTAACGGAGTGTCTCCTTTTCTGTGTCCAGACCGTGATGAGCCTTGACAATGGCAAACTGGTGCAAAAACAGACCTGGGACGGCAAAGAGACGACAATAGAGAGAGAAGTGAGCGATGGAAAATTAATAGCGGTAAGAGTTTTATATAAGAGTCTGTCTATCCATCTATCTATCCGTCTATCCATCTATCCATCTATCTATCTGTCTAGCCATCTATCTATCTGAATCCTACATTAGTTAGGCTATAGTTATTTTAAGTAATGACATTCAAGGGTGTGTTTGGGTTATTTGGTTGTAATAATGCTGTTATAAGACCAGGTTGTAATGATACTGTCACAAGACCCTGAAAATCTATTTTTTTTGGCACAAACAAATAATCTTAAAAAAAAAAAAAACCCTATGCATTTCTTCCCCTGCAGAAATGCAAGATGGGCGATGTGGTGGCAGTGAGGACGTACGTGAAAGAGTGAAAGAGGCATGAAGTTATCCTGATGTGATTTGAAGAACGCCTGGCTCAGTTCAATGAGCAATAAGACAAAAAAAAAGTCCTTTTATTTTTCTTGTTTTTTTCTTGTTCTTTTTTTTTTCATTGATACCAAAGCCAATGCATGCAGTGTATTTTAAGATGCATTCAGCATTATTCATTGTGGTTCTTTGAATAAAGTTCTGATTTCATTTGCCTTCAACTGTGTTGTGTTACTTTATATAGCCTGATTTTTGGGGTTGCATTTGGACGCATGAGCAAAGCTTAGGAAGCCTTTTACATGCAAGCTGATGAAGATGCAATGCAAATAGAGCCATTGGAGAGCTATCCTGAAACAACTGTAACCAGTCACTCTCTTATTCTATTTGCTAGCTATAAATAAAGGTCGTAAGCTGATGTCCAAGACCGTTATAGACATTTACATCCATGTTAAACTGAACATTGCAGTGTAGGAGTTTTTGGTACTGATCTGACTTTAAAAGTGAGATTAACAGTGTCTTAACAGTGAATTATTGAACTTTTCATGAGTTGAATCAGTTGCTTTAGAGCAAGAAAACAGTAAACTAAGACAGTGGACCTGGTATAGTACATATCTAGAAACTAAGTTATTATAGTAGTGGTAATGAAAACTTATTTTAATATCATAATGACCTAAAGTAAGATGTCTTTTACAATCCAGCAACCAAAATATGTGCATGCAGTACAGTATTAAATGATTATGTCTTTTGACATAGAATATAGCTGTAAGAACACAAATGAAAACATAAATGTCAAAGTGCTCTGTGTGGTGAGTCACAGAGGATATGCTTTCCTTTCCTTTTTTTGGTTAGACATTTCCTTTTTTGCACATAGTTTTAGCATACGCAAGGAAACCAGAGCATGGGTCCTTGCAGGAACGCTCCCTTTGGCCTGCATTCAAATCATCAACTGTTCCAGTGGTGGCCACTTTCCCAGGACAGGAAAAAAGAGGAGATACACTGATTGTGACTAACAGCAAAAACAGCTGAAGCAGGTATATTATGGGCCAGCACCATCCAAACACTCTATTCAAGAAACACAATGCCTGTTCCTATTGCCTATGCAGTATAAAGTTTAGATGGTGGGAGGTGGCTCTGGAAAACAACACTTAAATGAGTGGTCCTAATGAAAGAGGATGTTAAATTCAGCAGGACCAAGCTTAGGACTGCAGAAGTGCAGTAGAACACCCCCGCTGACCATGCTGAGATGAGGAGGAGAACATATGATGTTGATTTGCTTCAGAGATATTTGTTATCATTGTAAAGGAGATCCAGTTCAAAGACGTTCAGTGGCTGTTTCAGTGTTTCAGCTGTATGTATGCTTTTTGGCAGAATTGAGTTGAGGTTAATTTGCTCCTTATGGTTTGGTTGTGTAATAAGGTGGGAGTTCACCATGATGCGAGGCAGTGGTCCAAAAGGACATGTACGCAAGGCTCAGGCATGTTTATGTGTGAGAGGGGAACAGAGAGAGGCTCATGGGAAATTGGAAGAATAAGATAAGGACACTCATTCAAACGGCATAACCTCATATCTCCAAAATGATAACTCTACAGGAGAAGGAAAAAACCTACTTTACTTTTAATGCAAGTCAATGGAACCAGAATTTTTTCCAAGTCATTTTGGGTCGTTTCTTTTAGTGCATGCATCACGAAATTTACACACAATGTAAAGGGCAACAGGTATTTTAAAATTTTGCCAAAAACTAAAACATAACAAAAATGGCGATACTAGGTTTTCTTTCAACAGTACATTAAATGTTACCATGTTACTTTAAAGGGGAATTCCACCCACTTTTCAAGATTTTTGCATTATTAAGTCAGCAAGATGTAAAGTCGTGCAGAGTGGTTTGATGTGATATCCACCATTCTAGAGAAACTTACAAAGATTTGTTGACCAATGGGAACCAGAACTCTGGAGAATTAATGTCTCTTTAAGCTGCTTCTCATGAAGTTAATACCCTAAATGGTTATGAAGGTGGAAAAATAGTCCCCAAAGAATGCATTTTTTGGATTCACAACTATTTTACCATCATCAGCATTAGACATACAAATGAAGACAGCAGACATGCAGGTTCATTGGTTGTTCTGGCTAGTAAACTAAATGGACACACTTTGTATTTTAGACTTTGTAGACATTGAGACATTGCGGCTTCTGGTTCCTATCACCACTACTGCAAAGAAATCTGAGAAGGTAACTCTCTCTACAATGCACCATTTCACATCAAACCACTCTGAATTACTTTGTTTATGTCTCAACGATCTAATTATGCAGAAAAAAGTCAGTGGAATTTCCTTTTAGCTTATATTTAGAGTTTAAATTATTTTTAACTCCAGTTTGGAGATTCCAGATTTTCCTCTGATCATGACTGTTTGTTTTAAACTTTGCATAATAGACTTTTATTGTGAAGATTCAAATCTAGTATAGTGAAAAAACAACCTGTAGGAAGCTCTGCACAATGCACAGCTATAGAGTCTGTGTATTGCACTACGGGTGGTCACATGGCAGGATGTTGAGGTATTGTATGCATTATTGATACAGCATGCTACTGTGCTATCATTTTGTCTTGGAACCTGTTTTGCCTGGATAGTACTATGGGAATGAAGTCATATCCTCTGGGTAACATCTGGAAAGCAGCTCTGCAGGACAGCATTCACACCCTTCCACCCTTCTTCCTTATTCTCAGATACACAATGCTGTTATCCAACCGTGTCTGGCCTAATCTAAGGATGAGGCCAAGGCTACTACCGTCCATCCCACAGTTCCCCAGCATCCTCTGCTATTCAAGCAACTGCCGTGTTTTCCATTCTGAGGCCATAAAATTTGACGAGACTTGCTGGGAAGTTGTTATGCCTGTGCACTGTTTTACTAATCCTTCACTGATTAATTCTTCGACTGCGCAAGTATACTTACATTAGTAAACTTGCAGCCATGCCAACATAGCCACGAACACATGCACACCCATTTACACACTACACATTTCGTATACTCACAGTATAGTGTTGTTCAGACAGTTGAGTTTGCAGATGTAGTCAGTGCAATAAGAGATAAAAAGGGCCTTGAGTTCACTC